GGGGAGGGACAGGCAGGTGCCTCACACCCGCAGGGGCCATCATTCCCTCCCCTGTTGTGTGGTGGGTGTGGGCGTGGGGAGGGTCGCTCACAATTGGCGACCCATTTGCCAGCTCACGGGGCTGTTTCGAGCTCAGGGTGGCTACAGCTCAGCTGCTAGGAAACAGCTGTGTATGTGCCTTACGGACACATGTTCCCACTTCTCTAGGGTAAACGCTGAGGCGTGTGTTTCCATTTATGAGAAACCGTTACGTCTTTTCCACGGCCCTGCACCGGCCGCAGCCACATGCCTCGTAGGCGCTCGCTCGCGCCGTCGGCGTTTACAACATGGAACGCCGTTCCCGAGGGCGGGGCCATGACTGCGACTTTCATTTACATGTTGAGCGCGCCTGCCTGTTCTAATCGCCATTTGTACCTTAGAGGGTGGGCTAGATCAGGACTGTTTAACCGTTTTATTTAAACGTCATCCTGACCTTTGCTAGAATGTGGCGTTCCTCCTGACACCCTCCCCCTCTGCACACATTGCTTCTGCTCCCATCCTCAGACCCCTGGTTCCTAAGAAATATTCTCTCCTCGCAGCTCTGAGCCCCTCGCTGAGCGATGAGGCACAGGATTCCCTCCCTCCTCTCTCCTGCCCGGCCCTTTATCAAGGGGTCCTGTCTCGGACCCTCATCGGTAAGAGGTTGCTGGGGCCGAGGACAAAGAGAGGAAGACGAATGGAGGAGGGGGGCCAGGCTGAGGGAGCGCGCAGGAGCCTTCAGAGGCAGCGTGCTGTGAGGCAGGGGCCAGCGACCCCGCGTGGGGAGGGGTCCGCACGGCCCACCCCACAGGTGGGAATACTCACGTACAGCCCTGGTCAAAAAGAGAATTCCCACTAGCCTAGCAATAGTTTGGTCCCTACCCACCAATTATCAGGAAAAAAAAATACACATGACCAGCACATGGACCAAGAAAAGACTGGAAACAGCAGAAAGCGTGACATAAACACTGACGACAGAATTGAGACCAACATGTGTCACATTTATTTATTTATTTTAAAAAATATATTTTATTATTGATTTTTTACAGAGAGGAAGGGAGAGAGATAGAAAGTCAGAAACATCGATGAGAGAGAAACATCAATCAGCTGCCTCCTGCACACCCCGCACTGGGGATGCACCCACAACCAAGGTACATGCCCTTGGCCGGAATCGAACCCGGGACCCTTCAGTCCGCAGACCGAAGCTCTATCCACTGAGCCAAACCTGTTAGGGCACATTTGTCACATTTAAACAAATGCAAAGAGGGCAGCTCCTTCACTGAAAAAGTAGAAAGGAATTTAAAAGGCCTCTTGACTTGATTACGAAGCAAAACCCAGCAGCTGGCTGCATAGAAGGACTGCTAACCCGGAAAGGGTGCCGGGAGGAGAGCGCAGGGAAGCTGCGGGTCAGTGCAGGCAGCGCAGCAAGCCCTGCTCTCGCCCAAGGTGAATTTATGGCAGAAACGTATGTGCTAAGAGCAGGGAGGCCCTGAATTATGCCAAAGGAGGCACCCGCCACGGCCCAGGGGGGTGGGGGCCGCTGTCTCCACTCGCCAGTCCTCTGCGTCAGGCGGGGGAGGGCTTGTCGACGTCTGTCTTCTTTATGACCCAGAGCTGAGGCAGCGAGCACAGCGCAGCAGCCCCTGACTGTATAAGGAGAGAACGGAGGGCACACAGAGCGTTTCTTGTTCAGTCCTCACCGGAGGATGTTTTCCCATTGACTTTTAGAGAGAGAGAGAGAGAGAGAGAGAGAGAGAGAGAAACATCGATGTGAGAGACACATTGACTGGCTGCCTCCCGCATGGCCCGGGGGTTGAGCCTGCAGCCAGGTACATGCCCTTCACTGGGAACTGAACCTGCAACCTTCGGGTGCCCAGACCGGCGCTCTAACCACCGGTCCACACCGGCCAGGGCCAATATGCAGTTTTGGTTGCCTGTCACCTGTTCTGACCTGTGGGAGAGGCAGCTGTCTGTCTGTGATGCCGACTGTGGGACACCAGAACCCGGCTCAGCCGAGTTCACAGCTCTCCGCGGAGAACTACTTTACAGTCCGTCTCTGTCCTTTCACTAATTGTGGGTTCCGATTCCCTCGTGACTTTCTTCACGAAGAATGACTAAGAGTTTCATTCCCGCGACAGGGACGACAGGGACGTGTGCTGTCATGGATCCCAGGTCCCGCTCTGGAAGCAGTAAGAAAGGAAGGAAGGAAGGAAGGAAGGTAGGTAGGTGCTGGCTGAGCTGGTTTCTCAGGCCCCGTCCTGGGCGGGCACGGTCCCGGTCCCGTGGACTCCGCAGTAGGACACACAGGTCCTGTGAGGTAGAGAGAGTGGTCTGTGCAGTCAGACAGGCCTGGCTTCAGGTCTGGGTGTGGTCATTGACTCGGCCACGTGACTTTGGGAATGCCACTGTCCCTGCAGGACCTCGCCTGCCTTGCCTGAAAATAAGCCCCAAAGAGTGAATTTAGAAGGTGGCAGTGAAAATTTAATGAGATCGAGTAGGTGATGGTCACTAATCCATTGCTTGGCACATAGTAGGTGTTCCATAGATCCTAGATCGTCTCCATTCTTCCTGCAGAATGTTAATTTTCTCTGCGGTTCTCAAAACGTGGTGTGCAGAATCCCAGAGGGAACCCACTAGATGCCGGTTCCTGGGCCGCGGGGTTTTGACTTAGTGAATGGGTGGAACCCGGAACCCGGGCCGTTGGGAAGCTCGCTGAGGAGGCCGGTGCAGGCACCATCGCCCCCACTGGGGGCAGGTCCGAACTCTCAGTGCTGATCAGGGCCAAACAATTAACCCAATAATGAACCCCTTCTTCCTCGTCCCTCCCCTTGTTCTCTTTTGTTTGGAGGCTTATGCCCGCGTACAACTTCACAGCAGTTTCTTCGTCAAGACGTGGATTGTTTATTTAATTTTTATTTCTGGTTCTGACAGGAAAGCAAAGCCCAAAGAAAACAAGACTTACCTTCAGACCCAGAGTCACAACCACGGGCACCTGCGCGAGACGCTTCGCTGGGGACCGAGGGGCAGAGGTGACGACGGCGCGTCTCTTCCTCACATGGGCCGGCCCAGGTCAACATGAACCCAGGGGACACTCGGGCCCGGTTTGACTTCGTTCTCTTTCCTTCAGTCCCCAAGCCCGGGCTCTCTTTGACCCACTCACGCTTTCCAGTGGGAGCTGCTGCTGGTGGACAGGCACTGAGTGTTTCAAAGCTCCAACAGGATTTAAATACGGCGATGAAAGGGCCCTGGAATAGCTCTGCCTTAGTCCTCTCCGGAGGAAAGTTCTTGTGTTTGTAGGTATCTGTGTTGGCAACAGTATTTCGATGTGGACTCACTGGAGGGTGCCTGGTTTTAAATATGGAGACTCCTCCAGCCAACTCCGCCCCCGGCACACGTGCACGTGCGGATGGAATAAGACACGACCGTTGTGTGTAGCCGAGGAGTGCCCCGACCTTTTAGGAAAGCAGTTTCTGCCCCCCCACCGTGCTCCAGGGGTATTTTATTCCATTTCACTCTTGATTTTGGTTCTTGTTGGGGATTCTAGAAGGTGAACTCATATACCAACTATGAAACATCCCAGTCAACACAGGGTGGGGCAAAAGTAGGTTTACAGCACAATAATCTCTCTATATAAAAGCCTAATGTGCTAAGTGTCTGACCGATCGGTCGACTATTTGGCCGACTGTTCGACCAGTCGCTATGATGCACACTGACCACCAGGGGGCAGACGCTCTGACCAGTAGGTTAGCTTGCTGGTGGGGTCTGGCCAATTGGGACTGGGCAAGATGGGCTGGACACACTCCGGAGACAACCTCCTGCAGTCCCTCCCCGGCCTCTAAAAGATTTCTTCTAATAAATTTCTTTTCA